GTTAAACAACGGTAAGAGCGGACTCGCTCAGCTGACAGGGTTTTACCAGTGACCCGACCTCTACTGTGGTCCTCCAGCTGCTGTTAGCAGCTTTGCAAAAGACCCACAGCTGTAGAAACATTGTTTTGAGTCATCTCTACATATGTGGACACTGCACAGTCCAGCCACTTCACTTCAGATCTGCTGGCTAAAGTTATGAAGCCACGACTTAAACTCAGAGATCTCTGTTCAACTTAGGTTAAAGCAACATTCAGTGGCTTAGCTGCTGATGGCCTAAAAATGGCAGTAAAAGAGGGTTTTTTTTAGGGTATAGTACTCCATTCCAGCAGACTGGTTGTGGATGAAGTAAAGATGTTCAGCTCAGTTTGGTGATGCCAGTTTTCTGGACAGACCCATACACTGGTTACTGTATAAGATTTCAGTGGAGAGGTAATATTAAAGTGTGTTTAATCAATCAGTATTTTCTATCAACAGTACAAGAGTGAATGTAAACTGTAGACTTAAAATAAATGTCTCCCCACAGTTTACAGGTACTGTATTTTTCGGATTATAAGGCCTATTACGCGAAACCAAACTTTACTTTACTCAGCTCATTCTTCTTGCTTCCGCCACTTGCGTAGCACTGATTCATTAATGCTGAACTCTCTGGCAGCGACTCTATTCCCATGTTGTTGCAGTACGTTGATGACTAGCGTTGTATTGTGAATGGATTATCTCAGTTGTTCTCCTGACTGACCTTTGGTCCGTTTACAGCATCCTGCCATGCGGTTGTATTTGTCCCTAACCATCGGGAACCCTCACATTAACTTTTATCGAGTGGAAAAAAGTTAATATTCATCCTCCAGTTGCACTGTTTATGTTATGCTAACGTAGCTGTGTCGCTAGCGATCACGTAGCACATCATTATATACCAGCTAGTCCAACTTCAGTAACCCCAGACAAGTAACTGCTGTTTAATTTTCTGTCTTCATTTATGTTGGAAGTGATAACAGAGCTGTAGGTATTAATTTTTTCAGAAATCTCTCGGTCAGAACATGGTATATCATGTTTAGGTGTAAACTAGCGAGCTAACTTCCTGCTAACTTCTAACTCCGTTAAATTTAATAGATTCTGTTTTCATAGATGCCTGGATGTTAAACTTAATTGCTACACCTGGTAAAGGAGCAACGCTGATCATTTTATTAAAGATGACAGAATTTAGACAGTTTTTAACGCTCAGTGTCACCGCAGTGCTCATTTGACTTTGGGACCTGAATCAGACGGAGTTTTGGACCCAGATCCAGTGTTGCCAACGGCTCAGTAAGGAAAATCGCTATTGGTTGTCCTAAAAGTCGCTAAATGACATCATCGCCTAATTTGCTTAATTTGTCGAGCTAATGCAGTGGTTCCCAAACTTTTTTCGCTGGGTCCCCCTTTGTTTTACAGGAAAAATGCCTGCGCCCCCCACGTGCACGTGCACGCGCACATGCACAAACACATTCTCCAACCACACACACCCATATTTTGCTCATTTGCGTTTATTTCACACCTCAAACATTTAGTAAACAACTAAGCAAATACAAGTAATCTGCAATAAATGACAGGTAGTAATAAAATAAACTACTAACTCTTTTACGCTATGTCTGCACCTACACAGGTATTTTTGAAAATGCAGCTGTTTCGTCCACACATAAACGGCGTTTCGAATCACCGAAAACTGAGAATTTTTAAAACTCTTTTTTTGCTTTTACGTTTGGACGAGGAATACAGAGTTCATCACACAACGTCAAAGGTATGTGCCTTTTTTTCACGTCAGGAAGTGCGCCATGTTATTGCTTACGTGAGAGGAATTGCAGAATGGCAGATAGAGACGAAATACTGTTACTGTTAATCTGACTATCTTCAGTTTTACAGGCTTACATATACACGCAGTTACTGTCCCTCTATTTAAAAAGGCAGAGGCTATTTACGTGTAGTTGTTTTGTTTTTTTTCCTGTGTAATAATATTCAACATTGCTATCAATACATTTTTCAAAAAAAAAAATGCCTCTCTGTGCAAAATGGGTTTAAAAACATAAACAACTATGGGACAATGTTTGTATGTGATTTGAACCGAGGGAACGAATCGTGGCAGGATCAGCCTGATATTATTTGTTTCCCACTGTAACTTTACTGTATAAAGAGCTAACATCTCCAAAATGTCAGTAGTTAGTCATTACAACAAGTGTTTGTGAACTAAAAATCAAGAATCTGGGATACTGTTTGCCCGTGATTTGAAAAGTCCAGAGCATGCTCCCGACGAAGGAAAGACCAATTCTGCAGGGGAGACCTACCTCGGCACTTGTGCAGGTGAAACCAAAGGGAAGATATACTTCACCATATTTTCTAGTCTTTGGCTTAGAATGAAGTTGGTTTGGAAAAATATTCAGCTATGCTTCAGCTCCTGCTTTGCGTTTCTGTGGCCGCCCCGTGCTAGCAGTGTCCAAGCGTCTTGTCCCCCCCCCCTGTAATGGCTCTGCGCCCCCCCTAGGGGGCGGGCCCACACTTTGGGAAGGTCTGCGCTGATGTAATTGTAACCTACCTACTTTGGAGAGAGAAATAACATCGTGGAAGAGACATAAAGTGAGTAAAAAACGTCCTAAATGCATTTAGAGTTTATTTAGAACTACAAATTAAATTTCTTTTAGTAATTATTGTTTTATTAATGTCACAATTCCAACCCTGCTCCTTTACTCGGCCTTGGACCGGCAAAAGTGACCCGAAATAGGCACTCTGGTGGAATTACTTTGTGTGTGTGTGTGTGTTTATAAGTAGTTTTAAGCCTTGTGATCCACAAAACAGCATAAGAAGAAGAACTGACTGCTTTACAGTCAGTGCGGGAGCAGCGGCTTCGCTCATGCGCGATTCATTTGCTGTTTGGACGCATAGGTGTGAACATCTTCTGCCCTGATAGCGCTCTGCCCGTGAGCGCTTTGGAACGGCGAGGTGCCCATGGCAGCACCCGCTGCTTGTTGAGAGTAAAAGCGATACGCGCTTTCACGTCAAAAAGTCGTCATAAATAAGTCTCCAATAACACCAGGAAAAGTCGCCAGATTTGTCGCTGGTAGCTAAGCGACAAAGTCGCTAAGTTGGCAACAGATCACTCCGCGAGGCTCCTGACTACGGTAGCCGTAATGCTCCGACAATCTATCAAGCTATAGTTGCTTACCAAAGTCGTACTAAAACATTTTTTTGACAGATTTTTGAGTGTACCACATAAAATTGGTTCGAGGTCAGTAAGCACATTCAGAATTCATACATATGGCCACCGGATTAAAAAAGCACTGTCGATTATTTTTTTTAGAAAATTAAAGGATTTTAAGTTCACCTTATAGTGCGAAAAATACAGTATGTTATTTAATCCAGTGTTCAAAAGGCTGACATGATTTTTTAAAATATTTTGGCCAGTACTGCAGACCCGCCCCTGAGCTGGTATGGTGATGTAAAGCTCCTAGTTTGAAGCCCAGCTGAGGCCATTGTGTGTGGAGTTTGCATGTTCACCCTGTGTCTGTGTGGGGGTCATCCCATAGTCCAAACACATGCATGTTAGATTAAGTGGAGATTCCAAATTGGACAAGGATAAATGGTTTAGAAGTTGCTGTGTGAATGGATGGTTAAATATCCAACCTGCAGTCATAAGTGCTTTGAGTGATCAGTAAGACTATGCAAGTGCCACGTAAATAAAATGTCATTATACTTAAATATAAACTACTATATACTGAACCGTTTGACGTTTATGAGCTTTCCTGTGTGAGAGAGGGTGGAATTTGAAAAGTGAAATGTCATCATTACAGATGAAACTTTGTCAATCCAGCTTTGCTGCCCCAGTTAGAACTTTGCTCTTGGTCTGCCAGAGATGCCAGCTCAAGCGATTTGCTGGTCCTCGCAGAGTCCAGCCACACTGAGTTGTATCAGGGCAAAAAAATGTTATGCTCAGCGACCATAAGGCTGTAATTACATAGGAGCAGTGCTGAGCTCTGCAGGATAAACGTCAAGACCAGAGAGATGGCACAAAGCAACTGAAGAGGGGAAATGTGGACACATTTACAATAAAGACAGAAAGAAAGTCAGGGCGACACAAAGACAGCTAGTAAAGTAGGTAAACTGTAACAACTAAGAAAGCAGGTAAAAGTTAATAATCTGAGTCACCCAATAGCATTAGATCATTCTCATTTCCAAAGTGATACATGAGTTGAGCCATAGCATGGTGTGACTGACACCTTGTGGATTCCAAGGATAACTGCTGAAGTCACATATTCCTAGTATTGCATCTCTACAGTACTTTTAACTGTTATCACAGAGAAACAAAATTGACTTCAAACTCAATCAGCATGGAGAACGGAAAGAAACGTCACAGTCATTTCAAATTTCAATTTTTATTATTTGTACATTCACCACTGATAGGCGTACTCAAGAAGAAATTAAAAAAACAAAAACAAAAAAACAAAAAAACAAATCTTTGTACTAAAATGATAAAGATAAAAAAAAATTAAACCATTGGTGAGAAAACTCATAATGCAACCTCCCCTCTCAGGCCTGTACTGACTCTACGGGGTCAGAGTACTGGAGGAAGAGGAGGAAAGGGAGAAGAGGAGAATCAATAAGGACATAAACATAATCTGTGTCAGCTGTGACAGACAGATTCTCTCCCACAGAGAATAAACTCATCTCTTAACAGAGACAGAGGAACACTGCATTGCCTTAGTAGTTATTCCACGCTTGTTTAAAAATACCCCAGAGCTGCCTCATTTAAAGACTTGATTTGAAGTAATCTTAAGTCTGTACAAAAAGCCAAACACACCTATTTCAGTATTGTCTGATTTATGCAGTCCTCTCTGCAGAGGACCGAGTCTTCTCTTTAGGCAGGACTGGCAGGAGGAGCCTTGTACTACATGCAGCAACAAAAGGATTCCTCATCCAAATTGTTAAACACAGAGGTGACAACAAGTGACTGCAAATCATAATTGGCACCCACACTATGGGGCAAATGGAGCACGTTGGGCTAAATAATCAAAATTACCCAGTGAGTCAAACAGCTATGCTGTCAAGACAAAAACTGAAGAAAAAGAGGCAAATGTAGAAAGAAAAATATCAAACCTTGACAGTAACGCCACGAACAGCGCTCTGAGAAACACTGCAAATAAAAGATCATGGTCCCCTTAAAGCATAAATGTGTGTAGGTGTAAATGTGCTTTAAAATAAAAAAAGATGACAATTTGAGAGATGGTAGCGACATCGGTTGGTCCTCTGTTGGGTCTTAGTTGTAACAAAGTACATGTAGTGAAAGGCAAATGGAGGAGGGCGGTCTCTAGGACAGTTCCATCAGTTGATTGGCTATTAGCGCCGCCTTTCTCGTGGTTCGCTGCGGCTGCGTGAGCGTCGGCCTCCGCCCGCCCCGCTGCCCCCGGGCCTACGGTAGCCATCCCTGCGTTTGTCGTTCTCCCTCTCCCTTTCCCTCTCTCTCTCCCTCTCCCTGTCTCTATCTCGACCTCTGTCTCTCTCTCTGTCCTTATCTTTCTCACCCTCACTGCGTTCTGTTGTGCCTCCTCCGGCTTTCACCCTCTCCTTGCGCTCCTCTTCCCTTTTTTTCTCCTCCTCTTCTTGCTCCTTTCGCCGTTTCTCACGTTCTTTTGCCCGTTCTGCTCTGGCAGCTTCCCGCTGGGCAAACTACAATGAAAATGTAAAAAAAAAAACTTAAAAAAAAACCCCAAAACCCCCAAAAGATATGAAGTGGTTTGTTTCGTCACCTGTTCATCTGTAAGTGGAAGCCAGTATATGCAAGGAGCAGCTTTAGTCTTGCGGAACAAGTCATCAAGCAGCTTTGCAGGGGGATCCTCGGCTATTTTCTCTGACAGAGAATACACACAACATTAGACAAGAGAACAGGCCTCTGGCAGCGGACCCGATACACTGAGTCTAAATCCATGTCTTACCTTTCTTCTCCTTGCTCTTTCCCCTCTCCTTGCGTCGCCTCTCTCTTGATCGCGACCTTCGAGGACCTCCCTCCTTCTCTTCTCCGTGTTTTCCAAACTCTCTAACCTTGTCGCGATCCCACTCCCGCTCTGCTCGAGCTCGCTCCCTGCGTTCCATTTCACGTTCCCGTTCAGCCCACTGATCTCGCTCAGGAAGGAGAGAGGGCAGGCCCGATGTTCGACCACGGCCGGAGCCAGGACCATGTTCCTCTGCTCCAGGTTTGTCACCTGCACCCAAACCTTTGTGGAAGTCCAACTACAGGGCAGAGACATGTTCAGATTACAGATAGCCAAACATTTAACACTTATGGAAGGAAAAAAAAAACCTCAAAACAAAAATAAATTCTTACTTCATCCTGCTGGCAGAAGTCAACAGTGAGAACTTTTGGGTTGCTCTGTGGCCATTTCACGCCATGAAGAGCTGCTCGTGTGGCGACTGCCTCCTCTGCACTTGAATACTAGACACGGAAAGTATAGTGGGGGGACCCATGAGAGAGAGAAAATTCTTCCAATGTCTAAAAGCAGTCTGAGCTGCAGATATATAACTCAATGCTTTTAATAACTTACAGTGACATAGCAGTGGGACTTGATTTTGTCAATCCAGAAGCCCTCCTCCACCAGACTGCCAGTTCTGCTGAGCAGTTCCTTAAGCTGTCCCAGAGTGAATGGCCTCACCTGAACAGTGTCACAGACTCCATTACAACATGAATAAAGTGCGACTACTAACAATTTACACACTGCAAACAAGATAAACACAGTGGAACAATTAAATAAAAACACATGCAATAAGAAGTCAGCAAGATTACAAGAGGAAAAACTGAAACCTTTCCATACAATTATTTTTTTTTAACTTAATTGATTTGATTTATTATAAATTAACTGGGTCTATGACAGTAGAAGAAAATATATTGTGTAAGTTTTATACCTCAACAAAAAATAAATAAATAAAAATCTAAAATCAACCCCAAAAGAAAGAAAGAAAAAACATCCATGTCTTGTAGCTCATATTTTAGAAATTTGAGCCCAACATGGGTTTGTTCATGGGTCCTATTCTCTCACCAGGTTGCAGATGTGAACAATAGTGGAGACTTTTCCGCGAGGTGGCGAGGGCTGCTTAGCCGTGCGAACAGGGTCATCAATTGTGATGGAAACACTTGTTTTCTGCTGGCTGATGGAGCGACGGATGAGGGTGTCGCTGGGGGTCACTAGAATGAAAAACAGTGAGTAAAGTGTCTCCATTACATCACTGTCTTTGTAGTTCTTATAATAGAACATATTTTCCTTTACCGAGGCAAGAGGTCTGTATGTTTGAGTGTCAAATAATTAAACTATTTGAATTGCTACACCCAAGATGGCATGCCAGAAATCAGCACCGACTGAAAAGAGTTGTTTGAAACCATATAAAGAATCATTCAAGTCTTTCTGTCAGCCTTTCTGTTATGCACCCATTTGGCTTTCTTAAACATAAGGTAATATGAAAATTAGATTTCAGGAATACATTAATTAATTCTGATGAATTTATTTCTGCAGAGAAGCCATCTTACGGTGGATATCTTACCAGTGTTGATTTCTACATCATGGCTGGTATGTGTTGGTGAATGAGTTTCAACAGCTACAGGAATAGAGGTATCCATCTGCTCTTCATGAGCCTTTGTCCTTTCTTGGTCTACCTGTAGATCATCTTCCTCTGCCTCCTCTTGTCTGCTCCTCTTTGCTTCTCTTTGCCCATTCTCCTGGCTTTCTGAATGCACCACCTTAAATACAAGATATCACACCAAGCAATCATCAACTGAGAGATAACCTCAAACAAGCTTAAAGAGCACTTTACACTTAATGAAAGTGAAGATACTAGCGTCAGGTTAATCAGTAGTTAAACACTAACAACAGTAACCTGTGTAACTGTGCGTCTAATCTGAAGGTCCTGATCAGAGCGCTCCCTGTCTTCATCATCAGCCCCAGAGAGGACAGCTTCCTCTGGATGCAAGTCAACTACTGCTTCCTGTCCTAGACATGGCCTGATGTCTGGGATCAAAGACTACAGGCAAAGCGTGAGGAAACAACATGGTTAAGCTTTCTACGAGACAGTGTTTACAATGCATCTGTGAGAATTACTGTTAACTACAATGTAAAACAAATTATGCTTTGCTGCAAATACCTTGAGTGAGTCAGTGGTGATGCTGATGGAAGGTTTCTTGGCAGTGACAGCTGTGCTGGAGCCCCACCTCCTCTTGCGACCAGCCACTGTCCCAGACTCCTGTTCACCCTCTGCACTGCTGGTGCCCGGGGATGATTTACTGCCTGGGAAGTAATGGAATCAATACAATGCTCGACGTTTATGCAACACATCAACCGGATATATATACAGACAATGGTCTTTTGAATGATTAATGAATTATATATTCTGTTGAATAACCAAATTTAAGAATTTTTTAACGCTGCTGTGTTCTCAAACCTTAGCGTATCAATGCTGCACCTCCCGTATCAAAAATATTTGTAAAATAGATTAATACAAATATGAAGAGAAAAAGCCACAATATCAACATGAATAATCAAATGTTAGTAAAGAATGGAACAAGGTGAAAGGTTGTACTCACTGCTAAGAGAGATCTTACGAGCTGAGAAGGCCTTTGATTTCTGAAACACAAGAAGACAGAAACAACCCGACATACATGGGAGAGGTGAGACGCCGACACCATGGAATGAGACAAATGGTCAAGTTGGAGAAAATGTGGAATAAAAACAAGAAGCGGGTAAAGAGAACTGAAAACAACCTCGCCTTAAAACTCGGTGTTTATTGACGGAAAGCTATGTTGCGTTTGTTTATGTTGTGTTCTCCTAACTTTTTAAGCTCTACACCTGTAGATTTTTGAAAACATTGCTTACTTTTAAAGATTGAACTTCTCAAAAACAAAACAAAACAAGCCCCCCC